AGACGCTTAACAACTGAGCCACCCAGGTGCCCCAAATTGAAAAATTCTTTAAATTTATCAGAAGCATTTGATAGCTTGTGTCTGAAATCACTGTTTTAGCTTTGTTAGTTCTCTTTCTGTTTCTTTGTTTTCTGCTGCTTCTCTCCCCCCTCCCCCTTTGCTCATAGTCACAGCTAGGACACTTTCCAATTCCCCACAACATACCAGTCTTTGTGGACTATAAATAGGAAGACAAACAAGGCTGGGCAGTTGGAGAAATTGTCATTCAGGAGTTGGTGATTATAATAAAATCAAATGGGAATGCCTGGCATGCTTTTCTGGAAGGCTGAACATTTTCAGGTTGAGCTGGATTTTTTTTTTTTTTTCTTTAACTGGCTGGGGCCGGGTGACACCTAAGTTATGACAGGGCTGCTGTTGGTCCTCCGTGAGCTGGCAGGGTGAGAGTGAGCACATGTGGGAAAAAAAGATCCATGAGGAGTACTTAAGCCTGCCTGTAAATACCACCTCCACTGTAGATGTGAGAAAAATGAGCCTCAGGGATAAGGAGGCACCCCCCCCCCCACCATCACCACCAGGGTCACTTGGATTGTTGCCAGGCTAGGACCATGCTCCATCTTTCTAGAGCTGCCTTCCCAGTGTGGAGGGGCTACCTGTTTTGTATTGGCCTTGTGAAGGGAGGGATAGGGGGTGTTCTGTAAGCTGTAAATATTTTAAGGGTGCTCAGCAGGGTGCTGAGGGGCAGGTTTTCACTCCTTCCCTCTGCAGATGGCTCACATTTCCCGTGCTGGCATCTTGGCGTCTGCATTCTCTTCCATGAGAGCCGATTACAACCATCTCCCCCCAGCCCCCTTGCCCTCCATCCTGTTCTTAGGAGCCTCGCCTCCGAAGGGCTTGTTTTCCAAGACTTGGAGCCCTTATTCTGGCTCTCATAGTCTGCAGCAAACTGAGCCTTTGCCGGCCTCTAGTGAGGAAGTTGGAAGCTGCAGGTGGATGAACGTGGCATTTCTGTGGAGTCAAGTGGCCCGCGGCAGCCTCTACAAAGCTACGCGTCTTTGAGCATCTTGCTTCACCCCTTGCTTCTCATGTGGCAGCGTCCACAGTGGAGTTAAGAGATCCGAAGCAAGAATTACAAAGAAAGGCTTATTCGCATGGCAGTTTGGGGTGATGGTGGTAGACGCTGAGCCTTCCACTTAATGAAACACACTTCCCTCTAGGGACTAAGAGTCTTGGCAGGAAAACACAACCAGGTTGGAATTTGGAAAGCCCGTTGGAGTAGTTTGGCCCCTCAGTCTACTTTAGGTAATGTCCTTTTCCCTTGCGGAAGCCATTCTTTAGAGGGGATGGTCATGAAGAAAAGAAAAAAAAAACCTGAAAACACAAGATTGCCCTGTAGACACATGTGTTTTATGTAGCACCTAAAACTGGGGAGAAGTCTTTCAGTGCTAACTTGGAAAAACAAATTATAGAAGCTTGAACAACAGCTGTTTGACAAATTCACCAAAATTCTTTAGAGAAGTAAAAGTCGTAAAATCGCCTAGAAGATGGGAGACCTGCCTTTTCAGCCTGGCTTATTTATTTAAAAATATATTCTGTGGTGGCGGGGGACATCTATCCTGTGGAGACTTTAGTACAAATTGGCTTTAAAGATTAAAGCATTCAGGAAAAAAAAAAAAAGATTAATGCATTCAAGCCACACTTTGGAATCTGGAGGAAGAGGATGGATTATTCCATAAATGGTGTGGGGATTGCTAACTAAGCATTTGGAAGAAAATAAGGTTAATGATCAACGTCGCAGGATAGATCAGAATAAATTTCAAAGATTAAATATTTACACGTTTAACAAAAAAAGGGGTCATAAAAGCAATAGACAAAAACATAGGTGATTGTTTCTGTAACCTTGGTGGCAAGAAAGGTTTTTCTCAGCATAACCCTGGTGCACTGGGGAGAGAGAAGGAAAAGACTGATAATTTATATAAAATTTTTGCAAGTCAAAAATGATCATAAATATGATGAAAAGATAAGTGATGGCTGAAGTATTTGAAACATACCAGGTTCTATAAAGATATCTTAGAAAACACCTGGGTGGCTCAGTTGGTTAAGTGTCTGCCTTCGACTCAGGTCATGATCCCAGGGTCCTGGGACTGAGCCCC